ACCCCTAATCCCCTAAACCCTAAACAAAACGGAAGGATGCAAGTTGCCAAACTTCAATGACTCCACCATTGGTAAGTCCCACCATTTTGTTTCTGCGCTCGTCTTTGCCTCGAAGGTGCCTTATCTGATCTTCGAGATTTAGCTCTCTTACATGTGCAGACACTGAATACGGATGGGTTTAGGGCTGTGGGTTTCAAACCCTCAGATGTGCAACCTATGGGCCCAAATACATGGACTGGCGGTGACGTGACAAGTTTGTTACAATAACGAACCCTGTGGCATAGTGCTAAACAATCATTCAGACGCCCATGTTGCGCCCTAAACCCCACCCCTGAACCCCTCACACCTGTAGCACCAACCCCTACATCCTGAAACCTCAACACCTAAACCCTAAACTCCTAAACCTTACACCCTAGGCCCGAAACCCCAAACGCCTACGTACACCTAAAACCCTGAACCCTAAACTCCTAAAAGTGCCGGGGAAAGTCCCGCAGCTGCGGAAGCTCACAGCTCAGGTCGTCCCCGAAATTTCACCGAAGACCGCCGTCAGTAGATCCTGGAAGGGTTCAGGGGTTTAGGGTTTAGGGTTTAGGGTTTTAGGGTTTTAGGGTTTAGGGTTTAGGGACAAAGGCAAAATTGAACTGGGCAGTTTTGGTCTCGGGCTTGGCTTAGTATAGGATTATAGGGGCCTTAGTAATTAGAATAAGGTTTTGCGCCCAAAATAGCATTGATAATTGTTTAAGCCCCTATATTGGTAATATTGAGAAGAGACGTGAAGAGGTAGCATTACAAAGTGACAATACTGGGATGTTGCCGCTGATTACTCAAACCTCCATCTTTACACGTGCTTGAGTGACTGGGGGCGGGAATATAATTTAGGGGCCTTAGTAATTAGAATAGGGTTTTGGGGCCCATTTTCCTATAACTATAATCAGAAACCCCTAAAATACTACAGGTAACTATTTAGGCCCCTATATTAAGGACTACTATAAGGGATTTGCTATGCATGGACTTTATAGGGATCCACTCTCCCGCACCCCCTTAAGCGGTTTGATGCGAAGCTCCCGCCTGGGTGCCTTTGCCATCAGGGTTTTCTATATCGAAGCATGTTGGGTCCCAGGTTTTGCTAGCATGCACGAATAAGATTCAACCCTAAACCCTAAACCCCTGAACCCCTAAACCCTAAACCCCTGAACCCCAAAACCCTAAACCCTAAACCCCTAA